TCAGATCAAATGATCCAGCAACACAAAAACAAACGAAGTGGTGGCATGGGTCTTCCACTAAAAATGGGAAGGGAATCGGTTGTTGGCCGCTGGGTGTCCACTTCTTTTCACGTGCTGCCTTGAGCGTGATATAAAAATCGAATTCCTATTGTAGAGCACATGCCCCAGCCCCCTCCCCCCCCCCAGCTACGAGCTGCGACAACCATCGGATGCCATCAAGCAGTGAATGTGAATGCAGCATGCAAGTCAAAATTCCTTTTCCGTTTATAAAATGCGTGGAAAAAAAACTTCATATGGAAGGAGCACTTCCATATCTTCACAGGGCTTTTATTTTTGAAATATATTTATTATGTAAATCTATTAAAATTATTTTCCCGAAATCGGAAGTTATATTCAGAGCAAATGAACTAATTTTTTAAACGAAAAATGAATAATGTTTGCAATAAAGTTCTAAAACTTTATTTCAAAAATGTTGCTTTTAGAGGCAAAATTGGCGATGTTTCTCCGAACACGAACCGACTGTAAACAAAACAAAATTGCAAATTACGAATTGAAGTTCTCGAAGAAGGAAGAGGTAAGAACTTTGGCAGTCGTCAGTCGATGGGCATTTATGATGGTTCTTTTGAACTTAGGCTGGATGTGCTAATAAAATGGTAAGTATGTAACATATTGACATGACTGCATCGTTCCCAACAAAATTCATAGCGAAATGACTGCAAAAAGAACCAGAGTCGAGACAGAAGAGGAGTTTGAGAAAGAGTTGTTCGCATCAGCATGGGTCTCAATTCGTCTAATTGATCTTACGTAAGGAAAATTCAGCACCTTACCAAACCAACCTATTACCTACCTGCTTTTCAAGCTTAACTTGACCTCAATAAGAAAAGAAAACGAATGCAACGCGAGCTTCGAGCTATCCTCGAAGGATTGATGCATTGGCATTGGCATGCCGAATGCCTACATCGGTGACTTTGAATTTTGAATGTTTCATTCAGTACTTGTAGGAATAGGTTTTTACTATTTTGATTTTATTTGACTGGGTGCAGTTGTCTTGTGCGGGTCGGTCCGAACTTGTGGGCATTCAGTCGGCCACTTCGCGACTGATACAGCCGCAGTGGATGTTCGAACGATCGCCTAGCCCCATCGGACGGCGCTGCCTGGTGCCCCCGCTTCCCAGCCCCCCCCCGTCCCCCCCCCCCCGCAGCCATTCACCGATCCGAAAGAAGCGGCGGCCGGCCGTTCCAAGACGCTGCTGGGGCCGATCGGCCACGTCCGGACCCAATAGAGGCCGGCTAATGACCGGATCGATACCGGTCGGGAGGCGGCGGCCATTAGCGCAGCAAGGCGCCCGTCTCAGTTATTACAGACGACGGCGTAAGGCCGCCGCGGTAGGCGCTGAAAGACACGGGCGGGTGGGGTGGACGCATAGAGCCAGATCCGTCCTCCATCACTCACTGGACTAAAAGGTGTGATGTGGTTTTCAGCAGCGACACGCAATCTATACGTGACACGCGCCCAGGCGGTAGCGTGTGTATTGGCCATGCTGCATGGCGCACAGTGGGCCATTATAGGCTATATTGGCGAGCGGTATCGGGCACGATATGCATTTATTTCGACAGAACCGTATGCTGACGTGATGTGTCAACTATGCCTATCCGTCTGTCGGCCGTGCCTTATCTGTATCCTTTGTCCTCGCTAGGTCGAGGTCCTTGTGAAATGTTTGCGTGCGTTTGTTTTCGGTGGACCCGATAAGGCAAGGTCGAATGTTTGACATGTTTCGCCCTTGTATCCTTCAGTTATACACGCAGACGTGTATCCGTAACACCAGTGAACGCCTTTCTGTACTATCGCATCGCATTAGTTATTCCAAGGTTAGGAAAGTTCAGTCCCCCTCCCCGTGCTCTGCAGATCTGACCTGACCCGGTGTGTCTCGTCCACAGTGTGCTGAGAGGAGCGGTCTGACACCACTGTGACCCTGACCTGACCTGACCTGACCCGGTGTGTCTCGTCCACAGTGTGCTGAGAGGAGCGGTCTGACACCACTGTGACCCTGACCTGACCTGACCTGACCCGGTGTGTCTCGTCCACAGTGTGCTGAGAGGAGCGGTCTGACACCACTGTGACCCTGACCTGACCTGACCTGACCCGGTGTGTCTCGTCCACAGTGTGCTGAGAGGAGCGGTCTGACACCACTGTGACCCTGACCTGACCTGACCCGGTGTGTCTCGTCCACAGTGTGCTGACGGGAGCGGTCTGACGCCACTGTGAGTCGCCGTCCTCACCTGATCGGCTTCTCGGACTATGGGCGTACCCGGCCTTCCTTTCGGTGAGTATCTCCGACCGAGAGTCGATCGGGTGTTCACCGCGGCTTTACTCGCTGACAGACAACTCAATGCAGCGTAACCAACAGACTTCAACTCACCCTGCAGCACTCCAAAGCGCATCGACTCCCGCTCTGTCGCATTCAAAGGCGTGATGTATCCCCCAAGCAGGCGCACCTACACTCAATTCAAGACTCCAATTGAAGGACATAAAACCCCGGCATCTTTCATCTCATCGACCATTTCGCCACCGCACGGCGCACCGCGGCGCACGTGCGGGGACTGCGGAGCAGGGGAGGGGAGGGAAGTGGAGGTGAGGGGAGGGGAGTCTCGAGAGCAGGATCAATCCGGGCAGCGGAGGTCGGATCGACATTGATCCACTGGAGTCCCCGTCGGCTCCGCGGTGGACGGTGGTGGCGACGGTCAGCTGTGCGGCGGTCTGAGTGGACGGCCAGCCGGTGGACTGGCTGGTGGACGGTCAGCTGTCTCTCGACTCCCGTAGTTGACAGTCAGATGTCTTTCGCAGACTAGTTATCTGCTGGCTGTCTCCGGCCCGCTGTATAATGTCTACCGTGGATGGAAAGCTGTCTCCCGAGTCCTGGAGACACTAGGGCGTCAGATATTTCCCTCAGACTGTCTGCTAGCTGTCTCCCGTGAACAGACAATAGTGTCCAGCGGACAGTCGGCTTATATTGGTCACTGGATATTTGACAGTTGTATCGGATAGACCGTCAATAACCTCTAGTGGACGGTTAGTTTTCAATGTCATTGCTGATAGTGCGAATCATCAGCTGGTCATTGGTCAGCTGTCTCTCCTCAGTCGTCAGTAATGGACAGCAATATTTCGTGGATGGTGAGCGGTCTCCCGTTTACTATGAACGCCGTGCTGTTAGCAATGGTAACCTTGCAGCTCACTTGAGCAGTGTCTATCCGCACGAATATATGTCCGCACAAACAGCTAACAGTTCGCACTGCACACGCCGTGGAGCTTGGTTCACAACGGTATCTGATTATCTTGCAACGATCTACCGTTTAACCTCGGACTGTTTCAATTTTCATGTGCGACAGGTTAATGACCAATTAAATGAACTTGATATTTATATAGTTAGCTTTCATGGTGCTGTGCAGGGTAGGTACTCTGTAGTCTGTGCAGAGCTGTATCCGTCCAGAGACTATTACATACGCTCAAATGAGCGATAAATTTTGCTACTTGTGCTAAATGTGACATTTGAAAAACATAGTTTGGTTTAAACGTTATAGCTCTCGTTTACTGACGCTGGTTTAATCTTCCAAGTTCTGCTCGTATGACCATTGACCATGCTTTCACTAATAATTATTAATTTTGACAGTTGTCGCTAATTTTCCAGTCATAATTGATGCTTCTGAAATTGCTTATTAATTACAACTGATTGTTAATGATGGTTTTATCTGTTCATCTTGTCAACTCTGTTTAATCGAGCCAATTGTGCGACTTAGCCTTTCTCAGTGGGCAGCATGGGCAGGCATGGCAGGGCAGGACGGACAGGAGACGACTGCTCTTGTAGATCACGTAAACTGTATAGGTCACGACCCGACCACACCCTGTTTGCGTAGGTGTGTCTGTTTATAGCGCCTCAGTAAAGGTACCGACGCACGCCAATATACGGGTTATGCCACTTCTCCGGAGACTGGGAAAGTGCAAGAGGCCTCAGGCAGGCGTTTTGTACATGTTACCTGAAAAATTGTCCATGATTCGACAGGCAAAAAGGACACCACTGAATTCAGGGTGGTCCCTCGCCTATAGTCCCATCCTCTCACCTGGTGAATGGTGATGGACGCGAACCTTTGTCAAGAGACCCGTTTCAGACTCCGGTGACAGGTTTAAATTTCGGCTTCACAGTTCGACGCACCAAGGCACGTCGTTGCCGCTGGTCCAGCATTGGCTCAGACCGGGCCTTCACATGCCTTCGCTTGGGTTCGCAGCCAAGACTAGCTGTTCCAACCCTGAGGTGCCTGGCGCGGGAGGTCGGACCGCGGCGCTTATCGGCGCACTCGAAATAGATTGGTGTATCTTATCACCGTGATCTACAGGAATGCGTGAGATCACAGGAAACCAAGCAATCGTCCGGTCAGTGAATGAGATCAATCGTTGTCGTGCTATCGCCTCGATTGATTTCGTACGGCGAACAAGTTGAGTGTGTGGTGCTTCAACAGATACATGACAACAAGTGACTGACTGGAGGTTAACCAGACGCAGTTCGGACTTCGGAGTCTCAGTCAGGCAGGTTGCGGTTACGGTACAATTACTGTATGGTGGTAAACCGATTTTGCCAAAACACAGCCTTTCCGTGGGTATGTCTTATTTACCAGTCGCCACAGCCTTGATAAGATATTGCAAATTTCCGTGCACGATGTGATGCATGTCTTCAGTCAGTAAAATTTCGCACAGTCACAGTACCAGACAGTAACTTCCAGTGCCAACACATGGCTAATAACCTTAAGAATCATTAAAACTTAATCACCGAAAGCCACACAGCACGGTGGCGACAGCCTGGGGCGGCCAGTAGGGTACCGGGCCTGGCTGGCCGCGCCTGTGGGTGCAGCGGGCCCGATAGCGGCCATCGCAGCCGGCGCAATCTAATCGGGCCTGGGTGTCCCACCGCGGCGGCGGCGCGACACCCGGCACACTCCCAGCCGCGCACGGCGTCACTCGGCCCGTCACAGCGAGCGTGACGCCGCCGGCGTGACATCCAGTGACGTGACGTTACGGAAAGTGACGGCCGGGGTGGACTGGTGATGTTCGTGGACGACTGGATGAATTCAGAAGAGAGAGCTCGCTGCGATTGACTCTGGGAGCGTTTGGCGTGACTTGCTCTCGCAGCACCTAGTGTGATTGACTGGGAGCGTCTGGTGATTGATTTCGGAAGCGCTTGATGATTGATTCCTTGGTGACAAACTCTGGAAACTCCGGTGACTGACTCCGTCAGCGCCTGGCGGTTGTCTCTTTGAGTCCTACGGAACGCCACAGTCGGTGCTGGCGATTGGTGCTGGTGCTGACGGAAATGCGTGATATCGCTGCCGCCTTCAGTGCTGGTGTGACATCTCAGTAGGGCGAGGTCGGCCCTATCCCACACCGCCGCTCGTCTCACGTCGCCCGACACCTGCTCTTGAAGACATCAGTACGTATTCACTACCGCTGAACGGATGTGTCCTTACAAGTCAGACAAGTGTTCGTCTGGATGTCATTCATAGATGTGCTTGTAACCTTTACCCTTCATGCCTGGACGGTGGACAAACCTATCGAAACCCTTGAGGGCTCGATTTGGCCTGATCCCCTCCGTCTTATGTGACCAATGTTTCGGGAGAGTAGATGTGTTGACACTTTACTCTCACTTATTGATCACGACTCAAGAGTCAATGTTTAGCTCCGATTCTCTTGTTATTTTTCTTTTTCTTCCTAGCATTAGCATGTTACTCATCAAGGCCACGTAGAAACTGGACCCAGCGATTGTCAGGAGCGTCATGGCACCATTTGCCACAGACCATCCGCTACCAGTCCATTGCCACAGGCTGGGCGTGTTCCGTGCCGACCCCAAGGGCCGGTGGGCCACCGGGTCGGCAGCCGGTGAGGGGTGGGGGTGGGTGAGGGGGGGGGGGGGGCGGTCAGCCACGGTCGCCATCCGTCTCCGGTGGTATTCGGTCGTCCGGGAGGACGGGTGTTGCAGATAGAGCGCAACGCTGATACGGCCAGACGGGGCGGAGCTCTGCTGAAAAGTGGCGCGTAGATCGCGTCCTACGGGTTGACAGCCCACGAGGGCGCAGTGGTCGAACCGCGCTGCCGTCAGTTGTGTGCTGTGTTTGTGTGGTGAGGTGGGTAAGGTGGTAGCCGTGCTGCTGCACGGATTGTTGAGCCATGTCGCTCACAGTGGCTATACAACAGCTTTGGGAGAGGTACACGTCCCCTGCGTGTCTCCACAAAGGTTAGTGTAGAATCCTGCAGTGTCTCATTAATTTGTGAAAAGGGTGAAACCAGCTGTCTTCGGTAGCGGCGGAACACCTTCAATTAAGGGGACTTTTGGTCCCATTCTTTCCATGCAACGCCCATAGGGCTAATGTTAAAATGCCAAAATCAAAGGGGGGCACGGTGCCCCGGTGCCCTCCACGCTCCGCCGTCTATGGCTGTCTTGACTCTTGAGTGCTGTTCTTATCCTCGCTGTAAGTCGTATGAATTCAAATGCCGTCCACTTCTTATCGAAGCTTATCGTGAATGGCGATATAAGACCACACTAAGCTAGGGAATATTTCCGTGATTTATCTCGCACTTAATGAGTTTTCGAAGTAGATGCTCATATTTGCTTGGTCAAGAGACGTTTCATTAGAACGAGCATTGACGTTTTTCAAGCTACCTAGGTCTTTTCTGTGCTGGGCTTTCGTTTCTTGAAACCATCATTGTAAACCTATCATAAAGGTGGTAAACGGGGGTGGATATGCAGCATGGACGTTTTAGCTGTCGACGGACGTTTTAGCTGTAGCAAGGCTATATGGTTCCAACTTCCATGTGGTGGTGACATAGAAACAGTGGGAACTTGCGGTAGACATTTCTTACTTGTTTCTTTTTGAAACATGCATGCGGTACCTATATAATACATATATAAAACATTTTTAACATATCATTGGCTCCCTGAATCAAAGTTTATATCTTGGGTGTCCTGAATCCGGAAAAACTTTGTTATTCAGTATTTGCTAGATTTGTTCAGTTTTCGGTTTAAGATCAGGTTGATTTTTTTTTTTGCTTTCTCAATGTTCAGAAATGAATAATAGTTTACGATGCGGCAGCATGCATTGCTATTGCAGTGTGGCTAGCATTGTATTCTGCGTTGTTGCACGCGTACAATGACAGCCCGTGTCGGTGTCGGCATTTTATTCAGTCTCATCAATCACCTGTTGCCCTTCCCAGTGCTGTTTGCGTAAGTGGCATTACGTCTGGCTTTGGTCGGCGCAATTATTGGAGTGGTCGACTGGAAACCCGATATCCGGCCGGCTCACAGGGGGAGCGGGTGGATCGGTTTACGCGTGAGTGACAGCGTCACCCCTCCCCACTCGTGCCGGGCTGGTCAGAGGGGATCGGGTGACTTTCCAAACGGAGCTGCGGTGGGCGTGCTCTGCGGGCTCACTAGGGCTGTGGCGCTTCCCCGGTAGTGGAAACATGATGGCGAAGATATGTTTGAGCTTAGGAGCTCTTACAGTTTCAGCTCATATGCGCTGGTGGACACACGTGTAAGGAATAGCACGTGTTTCGATATTAATTTAATTTGTCGTATTAGTTTGTGTTGCGGTCTTGGTGTTGCGTGTGCTGCTTCACAGATCCACAGGTGATTTAACCGTGTGACCTGTGACTGGCAGTGACCTGTGTGACCTCCGCGTTCCAGTGTGGCTCGTCAACAAGACACTGGTGATGACGCTCTGCGTGGGCATCACGTTCGGGTTCAGCTTCGCCTACATGGTGCTGACACTGGCACAGTACAGCCCGCAGGGCGGCTTCTACGACCGACTTCTGGGCGGGTGAGTACCGAAACCCCAACCTAAACAAAACCCGAAACGGCCTACCCTGCCCCAGGAGCCTACCCCTCACGCTGAAATACCGGCACATTTGGGCCAATCTGAGCATGGAGACTCAGCATGGGCTGCAGACAGCGGGATTGATTTATGGACTTCCGGACTGGCACCGCTGCAGATGCAGAGGCGGTGATGGGTCCGGTTCCGTGACATTTAATGTGAAGTGTCGAACGAGATATATTTGGCCGCGGTGGGGTGTCGCAGCCGCTAGTGGACGGACCGGTCGGCGGTTTATACGCCGAGGTGCTGACCGGGTAACACTTCCCAGATGACCCCATAGTTAGAGCAGCAGGTGTGCCGGGAGAAAATATGGCCGACTGACCTGGTGACCGCTGCCGACCGGTCCCGGCTCCGGCCGACCGAATCTCGGGGATCACGGGGTCCTCAGAGATGATTGGTTCGGCAGATGCTACTGAGAACATTGCGGCCCACAGCTTAGCTGTCCCGAGCAAATGGTTCCGTAATGCAAACTACTGATCGTTTATAGCCATGACTGAAAGTTGTTGCTAGAGATCAATGCCGGGATAGGACCACAAGATCATTCATGTCTGTATCTTTCGGCCTCACCGACGTTGGACACACTAGTTTGGCAGGGCCTCGTCTAACATGTTAACTGGGGGGGCAATTGCCTCCCCAGTCGAGCGGATTGCCCCCCCAGTGGCCAACATTTGCCCCCCCCCCCCCAGTCAAAACGTGAACTTCTCACAAAATTACCTTCCCTGCAATACGTTTTTGTTAGGAGTCTTACGTGGATTTAACGAGAAACATTATTTGTTCAAAAACTGTTCATACCTACTCCATGACTACGGGAAAAGCCAGAGTTTTATGATCTATAGAGCTGAGTACCTACTGTGATTCTGTGATTTTGCTACTGTGATTCAAGTAGCAAATTGTCAATTGGCAGCTGACCAGTGACCCAACTCGTGTTTGCGCCCCCCCCCCCCTCAATCAAACGCCCAACATGGATAAGTATGCTTATCACTGTCTGGTGGGGCAATGTGAGGGGGTAACACATTAATCTTAACTCTCGCCCGTATTGGTGTTTTTCCAGCCGCGAACGTAGGTATAGGGAGGGAGGGGGGGGGGGCTTGGACCTTGCCCCTTGCCGTTTCGCCCCTGATCGAGCTAGAGCTTCGCGGAGAAAACCACCGTGCTGCCCGTCACGAGAGGAAGCCGTTGATACCTCATTTTAAGGTCGTAAGTCATCAGTTGACCTTAAAGGTCAGGTCAATGACCCAAAAGTCGGGAAACTCGCGGGACTTATTCCAACGTCGTAAAGGGTGGCTGTTATTTTTTGTCGGGGTGCTGATCACGAATATCATGTTAGTTATGATCATAGATAATGTCTTCATGCATTTAGGCCAGGTCGGGTCAGGTCAGGTCAGGTCAACCAGTAAGGGTTTTGCCGGGTATTCGTAGTAGGTGGCAACCGCCTCTGGCTCTGACAGCTTCAAAACATGTTACGAAGGCACCAAAACTACTTCGTAAATGTTCAAATGGTTGCTAAATTCGAATTCAGCTCCAAAAACTGGTCTAGAATCATGTAAAACTCGAAAAAGTGAACCGAAGTCATCAAAGGTGACCTGACCAGACCTCCCGGTGACCTTGACGCCCACCCTAATGCATGGGAGCAATATCATATTCCATGTTTGAACGCTTGAAACCACGAAAAGACTGTAAACGCGCGGCTAATGCGAGCCGACATACGCCAAATCGCGATTCCGGTCAAATATGGTCTCGAAAAGTAGGTCACAGGTCAAAGGTCATTACGGTCAGGGTCATGACATTTTCAGAGTAGGTGTAAAATTGACTAACGCGAGGGTACTGAAAGTTTCGTCGCGGTCAGCCGCTTTTACGTGAGCTATTCTTGAAAAACCGAGGGGGTCCGTTGGACCCTCCCCCCTATACGAGCATGGCTCGGATTGCCTTTTTTTGTTTTTTGTTTAAAAAAATCATGGTCTCAGGTGTGACGAAAAATAAGTGGCCTAAATCCGTTGAGAAAACAGGATTTGGGGGTACCCTAGGTTTGGGTCCTTCAGTCTCTGCCCCCCCCAGTGAAAATTCCTTAGACGAGGCCCTGTAGTTTGGTGTTTTAAACGTCAATAAAGAAAAAAACTACCACGCATGAGACCAGCCTGTACATACAGGGCACATATCTAATTACCGCAGACTGGCACTGCCGCTCGCTCGGCCCACCCAATCCACGATTCCCCGGCCATCTCATCACGCACTGTAGTGTGCCAGCACTCAGTGCGCTCCTTTATTGCTCTACTAGCGTCGACAGATTGGCGCCGCCACCTGACCCGAATTAGGGGCACTTTCTGACGCGACCCTGACGTGACCTGTCAGGGTTGGTGGGGGAAAGGGAGGGAACGGGGAGAGTACATAACATGTCAGCACGCTCCCCGCACGCTATACGGTGAAGGGAAAGTGTTATGTATAATACAGCTTCCTGCCGGCTTGTTTGTTGTGAAGGCTGTAACGGAAGCGAGGCCAAGACTCCAAATATCGAACGATATTATCAGGCTGTTATGTTGGCTGTTATGTACGTAACTCACAGACGTCAGTCAATTGACAGAGTGGGTTTGTGGTGACCTTGGTTGCAATTTTTCATTTAGGTACCTAGCGGCGTACCTATGCAGTATGCGCGTAAGTACAGTTTTTGTTGAGATATTTTAACAGTTTGCCCGGGGTCGGTATTTGGCGTCGGGTTAGCGTCATTTATGACGTCATATTTCCCGCCAGCTGCTGTCAGTCGGTTCCATTCACGTACCCCACCATCCGTCAGTCACAAATGGTGATTGGGTCCCTGATGCGTGGGTAGGACAAGCCTGCTGGTATGCGCACGGGTCGGTCTGCTGCCGATTTTGGAGAGATATACCCTGCCTGTGCGAGTGGAGCATGACGTTGTTTGTTTGCGTGATAATTGTGATGGGACTCATGGGAGAATACCGGGCAGTCTTTAACTATTGTATCATTCCAGTAGTCATGCCGGTGTGGCGTGTGCCTTGTTCGTCATATTTGTGACATTTGGAATGTAGGTATGTTTTCGGTAATGTATTTGGGGCACAATTCAAGATCTTGATGTGATGATAAAGCAAAGACGATCAGTTACTTCGATAAGTTTACGTGTGTCAAAGCTATTCATTACGGAAGTGTGCTAATTTGTCCCCACCCTAATCAAATCGATCAAGCTATTTGATTACATGACTGCATTATTGAATTGTCAGGGGAAATTGATATGTCCCATTATGCGCTAGCCCTCATCAATTCATGATTCTTCTTTGTGATAAAGGGAGGTGCAACATGTTACAGGTGGCCTGATTAACTGTATGCATGCATGAGCTAAGGTAAAAGGTGGAATGCTGTCACTTTAGACTGAGTCATCATTCACCTAATGAGGTTGTCTTCAATCGTTGTAACATTTTTAGATGCAGGGATGAGCCGGAGAATGAAGACTTTAAAGCTGAAACTTAGGCATGGTGTACAAGAAAATCAGCGGTCCGGTCCTTATGGTTTCTTGTCCGCAGTTTTAGTTGATAGCAGTAGTTGTACCTACATATGTGAAAGTTAGCGATAGGTTTGGAACGATAGCATTATTACCGGAATATCCAGTTCACCCTGTCACCGCCGGACGCCACCACAGCCCTCCGGTGTATTCCTGTCCCTTATTTTCCAGTTTTGATAGCCAAATCAAACGAGTTGATAACGGCGCCCCCTCCCCGTTTTGGGCCGGCCGCTGCCGCCTGGCGGATATGCTGTGCCGCGGCGGCCGGTGCACTGCGGCACAGCCTACAGCGCAGGCAGCCCCCGTTTTGGATGCGTCCACACACCGACGGGGAACTGTCGTGGACAGGCCCAGACTCTCCATGGGGCCGCACGGGTCAGCCCTCGTAGGATCTAGGCCTGTAGAGTGCCTGCAGGTCAGCCGTGATGGGATAAACGGTCTTTCGGGTCATCCACATTTGGGGACAGGGGTAGGACCGCGCGCGCAGCTGTGGCAAGAAACATTCCAACAAAATGCCTGACTGTTCTGGTATTTCATTAAATTACCGCGTTATTCATTCGTCAAAACCTCTGACATGTTTGGAATGTTGCATGACACTTATTTCCTGGAAACGACCGGGCTGTAACTTGAGAACAGTTCCTTCGGCCAGGAATCCAATAATGTTGTTTGGGACGCAGGTGTCTTATGATTATTTCCAAGACTAGAGGTTAATAAAGTCACATTTATGTTTCATTTCGGTGTGAGGGCTGACACTGCCGACCGCTTCTAACACCTGGTTGAGGTAAAACACCCTAATCATTCAAGCCGGACGAAAACGCTGCTGAATAATAGAATGATCCATTTGCGTGACCCCTCGCCAGGGCTCTACTCCTCCACCTGCTTCCAGCAGGTCGTTGATAATTCAGCGTTATAATTCTAAGGAAATTGCCCAGGGGCGGAGAATAGCGTTTTGGGGTGCTCAAAAACCCACTGAGTCAAAAAGCGTACGTACCGTTCACCGCCAAAGCCTCTCTGTCTTTCTCTCTCTCTCTCTCTCTCCTCTCTCTCCTCTCCTCTCTCTCTCTCTCTCTCTCTCTCTCTCCCTCTCTCTCTCTCTCTCTCCCTCTCCTCTCTCCTCTCTCTCATCCTTCTCTCTCTCTCTCGCTTTCTCTCTCTCTCTCTCTCTTCTCTCTCTCTCTCTCCTCTTCTCTCTCTCTCTCTCTCTCTCTCTTCTCTCTCTCTCTCTCCCCGACTAACCCCGCGCCCCCTCTCCACAGCCGCGCCCGGGAGTGGTTCGGTCCTGACCGGTGTCACTGTTTCGCCCCGCGGCTGGACGGACCTCTGCAGCTGCACACTCAGCCCGGGTCGCTGACCCGGTCACAATGTGGATGTGGTGCCCGTGGAACACTCGGCCTCCGACCCGGCGCACGCAGGTAAGACAGACGTGGTAGAGTGAGTGGAGGAATGGAGGAAGAGAGGCGGGGCTGGGTGGAGTGGCCTGGGGAGGGACTATAGTGGGCTAGGTTGAAGGTAGAATTGCTGAGTGGACTGGTTTTGACTGAGTAAGACGGGACTAGATAAGGCTGGGAGGAGGGTTAGAGAGACGAGGCTGGGCTGGGATGCGGCTGACCGAATCGAGCTGGGGTAGATGGTGGAGCGGGCCCTTAGCAAATTTGACGGGTACTGGGACGGAATTACTGGAGCTGGATGTGCTAAGGCCAGAAAACTGGATTTATTCAGCCTATGTTTGCCAGGAGCGGTTTTTTTACTCATTGGGTGGTTAGCCCGTCGACCCGCTTGTTATCTCTCCAGGCCCATATGCTTCTCGTTAATTTCGGGCGAGCAAAATTGCATAAAGCTTTGCCGAGCTGACACGTCCTTTACTCAAACTGAGCCAGTGAAGACTCTGGAGCACGGTACCATGTAACAGTGTACAGCGGACGTGTTATGTTACTATACCAACAGACATAACAAGCCACGCTAGTTAATTAACTGTACATTATTTAGCAAAGGCGTATGTTGTAATATGAGAGTCAGCGAAGCAACCTCACATGATATTGAAAGCTCTCACGCACGTGAAACTGTTTAAAATATATTTCAGAAGTTAAGTAGTGTGACTGAAGCTATTCAGGCGAATGAATGCTTTGCTATAAACCTGATTACTTTATTTCAATAGGCACATGGCGGCTAGGCACGTCGGTTAGTTTTCTCTGTAGCGTGTCTGTATGTCTGTGTGCGCGTTGCGTGCTGTGCTAATGCGTGGGCCTTCAATATTGAGCTGTCTCGAACCGAGAACAAAGGGTCCGGCTCGGTGGCGTCCCGCCAGCTGCAGTCTGCAGGGCGGACGCTCTGAATTGTGAATGACCCGGTCGAAGGCCTACATGGCTCATTCCGCGATACAGTTAAATCTTCAATGGCGTAGTCGTTTTGTTTCCAGGAAATAATCAGACGAATGTGTAGTATTTAGCATATAGATTAGAACTTCGGTGAAGGAGAGCTGTGCGAATATCTACGTTAGTTAGGTCTGGTGGTGTGCATTAATTGTACGAGCCTGGTTCTCGACCGACGTTCCCTGTCTCCTCCCTAGCGACCACGTTTTGAACGCTTTCATTACGAGGAAAAAGCTGATGGATGACGATTACCCATGAGTCATCAAATTCCATGCTTATTTATAGGCCATGTAATCCTGCATCGATGCGTTTGCACATATTGCTCTGGTGCAATTTATCACAGAGTCGATATTCATTTTCCAGCAGCATCCTGCAGCCAACTGCACTTGGTGTCCCCGATATCTTGTGGGCGACATATTCCACCCACACCATAGGCGCCAGGCGGCGGAACGGGGGGGGGGGGGGCACCGTACTCCCCTTTGATTTTGGTATTTTAACATTAGCCCTATTGGCGTTGCATGGAAAGAATGGGACCAAAAGCCGGCAGTCGACCCCCCCCCCCCCCCTATTTGAAGGTGTTCCGCCGCCACTGACCCTCACTACACACAAGTTTTACTAAAATACCGCTACCCATTTATCTAGCAAGGGTATGTGCTGACGGTAAGGTCAGATATTGACCCATTGTATTGTCATCTGTTGTCATGGATTAGTTCAGTACTGCAAGTTTATTGGACCTTGCAGCGTTATATTGCCATTTACACCAGAAAGGTGCAAAGGCCGGCAGGCTGCATGTACACTTTGAACAGTTTCGTCGAAAACAGACTCGTTGACAAATACGCGCATTGGGCCGATTATGGCTAGTCATAACGTAGTGGTCAATGTCGCTTGTCAGAGCAATCGGTCCGATCGGTATGAATCTTTGTTGACAAAACGGCGCCGTTACGTACGGGCAGGCTGGCATTCGTTCATCGTGGAACGTTCTGGTCTCTCATGAGGACTGTGTTGTGATGTTATTTATCAGACAAGTGGAGAATAGCAGCATTCACTAAATGCAGCTTTCAGAAGGTCATCCAATGTTGAGTTGGCTGTCTGCTGAAATCTGCAACGCCAGCCTGTCCCGGCTTTAGTGAGAGGTTGGCACTTCGGGAATAGATTCGCAATTTGGGTACACTCTATGCCTCGATGTCATAATCGTCATCATTAGTATTCTATGTTTGGCCCCCGCCGTCTTTGTAGACCTAAAACTGGCTTCAGTATAATACATAGATCAATAAGGCGACAGTCGACAGGTGTGTGGTTCAATCACACCCACATTTCAATTAGGTCTGATCGTAAAGTTGTGCGATGCATGGCACATTTCTAAAATGTAACCATATCAAGGTCGTTAGGCTGCGGTATGATTAACTGACATGCTTATTGCTTATGCCATATTAGCACACATAATTGTTACTTATACGTACTAATTGAACGTCAGACTACTAAAACCCGAGATAACATGAATTATGTTGTCTATGCTAAAACATATTGAGCGTTTAAAGGTATACGGCTGTGGTGGTAGGCTTACTTCGCTCATCGTCGTTGTCGTTTTTTCTGAGTTGGAAACAGCCCGTGTAATTGCATTCCACTTGCAAATGCAATATGGATTCTAATTGCGATGGCACAGTTCCATCACAGCTGCATTGCATCTATTTTTGTCATATAAACCGTCCCGTCTACCCTGGCTAGTCCGTACCAGTCATTTTCATTATACCGTCTCGCTGGACTCATATCCTACGGATCGAGCTGCTCCGTTGCCCTCTACCTCCCTCCTCTGCCCGGGTCGGATGTACTGGCGCTATTGACTTTCCGCCAGCTCTGGGCCGGGGCTGTCCGACACTGACACCTCATGGTAGACAGCTCGTGACAGAAGGCCCACCCACTCCGCAGCATATTGTCACAGCAGTCGATGTGTAGGCGAGGTGACAGGAGCGGACGGACGGACGGACGGACGGACGGGACGGACGGGCGGGCGGGCGGGCGGGCGGGCGGACGGACGGACGGGCGGACGGACGACGGATGGATGGGCGGACAGACGGACGGACGGACGGACGGAACGGACGGGCGGACGGACGGACGGACGGACGGACGGACGGACGGACGGACGGAACACCTGTGGCGTCAATGGCGGTAGTGGCGGGGGAGAGCCTCTGGCTGCGGCTCGATTGATCGCTTCCTCCCCCGCTCTATCGGCCGCCACAGCTGACCAATGAAGCGAGCGATGGCGCTGAGCCTCCTGAGGACCCTCGCAGGTGTCTGGCGTATGCCAGACGCCGTCGCTGGGTGGTTCTTTGGGAGGGCTCGGCGAAGAGAGTGCCGGGGTGCGTGACTCGGGGTGTTAGCGCGACGCTGACGTCGACCCGAGCCAACCACACCCTTCCGGCAGGGAGGGGTGTCACTACGCAGCCTTCCGCCTCGGGAAGGGGTTGGTGCGAGCCGGGGATGGGAATGTCCATAGAGGTAATGCTCATGGCGTCCACTCATCGAGACAGTCTCGAGTCCACTCTGGGGATCGGTACACAACGCGTTATCAAAGTATCACGGACGAGAAATTGAGTTGAGGACTTCTTGGGTAGGGCAGAAGGAGTTCACGACTGTAATGAAGCTTTTGCGCGCTCCTGCTGAGGCTGGAGTGTCGTTTTAACACACCGTCCCCAGCGTTGGTATGGTCGAACTGGAGCACCTATCGACCACTGGGCACGGTGTCTGTGCACTAGCCAGCAGCGAGTCGACGGTTACGGCACATAGCAGCGCAGTGCGAGTAAAAATAACTGCGTCATTAGTCTATACGGGCACAGTGCACGTGTAACGTTGAGGTGAGGGAGCTCGCGGTACTCAATATCGTCACGCAGGGCTTGGTGGACTTGTTTTCACTGTTGGACGCTATGGTACGTGAAAACAGTAGATATACAGGTGGTAGTTGATTAGGGTGATTTGGGGAGCGGTGGACATTTGACGTCATAGGACATGATTAAGTTGGTGCTTCTGGACGTCGCTTATTAATAAACTGAATTGCGCCGTCTGCCGACCGGTCTACAGGGGACATGGTGCTTACTAGGTATATAGTGAGGTACCCAATAGCCATCTAGTCAATATTGCCATGAGGCTGCACCGGCCTTGCTTTGCCCGAATAGAATATATACAATATTGCCATGTTTGTGGTTCAGGTATTGGCAATGCTTTCTGAAGTTTTCGTTTTTCATGTTCGCGATGTCATCCTTTGCCGTCTCTGTCACCAATATTGACTCCACTGCTTACCTTTATTGTGCGTATATCACCAACAAGCTCGTTTGGTTTATTTATTTACGTCTACCCCGTTGTTCTGTGTCCACAGGCGGTGACACGGTCGCCCTGGAGCTGGCCAAACGTGTGCGGGTGCTCTGCTGGGTGATGACCAGCCGGCCAACCACGAGAAGAAAGCGCGACACGTCAAGGCCACCTGGGGCAAACGCTGCAATAAGCTGCTCTTCATGAGCACAGTGGAAGGTGAGCAAAATGGGCGGCAGGAGGGATACAGCGGGCGGGGCAGTTCATCCGTTTAGAGTGTATTTATCAGTGTCAGATAGGGACAGTGGTTGGAGTGGTGCTCGACACCAAGTCAGCGATGTGCAGGCATGCAGTGATTCAAAGGAGTGACTGAACGTTGGAGAAGTGCATTGGTGTGTCAATGAGAGAAACATGCAAGCAAGTCACATGTCTCACAAGCATTTCCTGAATTGTAGACTCGTCCAGCCAGATACAGATCTCCCTTCCCCTGTCGCATTTGTCGTCCGCCACCATCTCCCCGTTTCGTCCCGTCTCCCCAGCT